TATATACTGATGTACGTATGTGTGTGTGTGTGTGTGTGTGTGAGGTGTGTGTGTGTGTGTGTGTGTGTGTGTGTGTGTACTTTTTAACATTTTTGGCAGCTGTCTAATTTTATTACAGTTATAAACTGATCTCAGTCTGTAATTTCATGTGTCATTATAGGAGTAACAAATATTGAGATAATACAAACAAATGTGAGACAGGCGATTGCAGGAGCATTTCCACTATACTGCCTTGGTTTTGGTTTTGATGTCAACTTTGAGTTCTTGGAGAAGATGTCATTGGAAAACAGTGGTGTAGCAAGACGGATTTATGAAGACTCTGATGCTGATTTACAGCTCAAGGTATTCCTATCCATTTTAACAATAACGTTTGATCAACCAATTTCCTGACTTTTTACAATAAAATGAGGCACCACAGAAAAGCAAATACAGAAAATAGCAAGCCATACTTTATACCCACAGGGTTTCTATGAAGAGGTGGCCACTCCTCTCCTCAAAGATGTGATAATGGTATATGCCGGTGCAACCAATCTGACGCAGACAAATTTCAGTCAGTATTATAACGGCTCTGAGCTTGTGGTGGCTGGTGAGCTCATTGACAACAACATTGAAACATTTGTGCCACAAGTTGTGGCCATCTCAGTAAGAATCAAACCACAAAATAAAAATAGTACTACTTTTTCTCTTTAAAACATTTTGTGCACTGGAATTCATTTCTATTTTTATTTTGACAGAGCAATAGAAAAGTAATATTCTCTCAAAAAAATGACTCCGTGGATACTTCAACTGGAACAGTCACTGGTGGACTTCTTCAGAGGGTCTGGGCCTACCTCACTGTTAAACAACTTTTGGAGAAAGAGTAAGATACAAATATGTGTCATTTCTATTTCTTTGTTTTATTATCATAATTTTTGTAATTGTCAGCTGAAATTACAATATATGGCTCTATAAAGGGTTTTTGTTTAAAATTATATTTTCTTTACCTGACATTTACCTTATATTCTGAACACCATTTGTACAATTTTGCTCTGCATCTGCATCACCATGAATACCAAAAGTTATGCATATCCTACATATGCAGTTATTTTCTAATCGTAGTAAAACTTAATAATGGTAAGAGAAGGGCTTTTTCGTTGCCGTGCATATTCAAATTTAAAAACATAAAATTATTTTTTAGCAACATGTATTGCTATTTGGACATCTGTGAATTAAAATAATTGACCTAGCTTCCAGATTGAAAGATAATATTTCAGTAAAAAAAAAAAAAAATCAAAGTGGGTGTTGGCCTGGTGGTTAGAGCAGTGCGCTTCTGCTCTGAGAAGGTTGTAAGTACCCGATTCGATCCCCACAGCTAGCACTCTGAGTTTCTGAGCAAGACCCTTAACCCTACAAGTTCTGTCTGTCCAAAATTTCTCCTTGATTATTCGGCAGGGAATATATAATTTTTAATGCATGATTTTTATAAAAGTCTCAAAAAAATGTTCAGGTTAACATTGCAATTAAAAATAATAATAATAATAATTGAAGTTTATTAATCTCACATTGGAGAAATTTGCCTCTGCATTTAATTCATCCCCTTTGGGAGCAGTGGGCTGCGGTGTTCTGTCTTAACTGTGGGGTTAAAGGTCTTGCTCAGGGACACAGAGTGCAGGCTGTGGGGATCGAACTGTGTACTTGGGATTGTAATACACCTAGTGGTGCAACCTGGACACTTTCCGGTTGAGTGGACGCTGGCGTGATTTCTGGCGCCGCTACTCTCCGACAGCTGTGCTCTACAATTTTTGCGAATAATTTCATGGACTTTTTTACATGTACAGTGACCTTGAGTGTTTTGAAAGGCGCTTGAAATAAAATGTATTATTATTATTATTACATCTTCAGTGACTCTCCCGAGATCACTGGGTGTTTCGGGTCTTAGTCATACACCCTCACTCGGGCGACCCAGCCGGGGGTGATCAGTTCCCCGACTTGTGTCCAGGTAGCGCACTACGCCACGCCTCCCCCCTCCTCAACCAGAGCCACCGTGAAGCCTTTTCAGCTGCTTCCAAGATGTTCTTGGTTGCTCTTCGTCTCTGGAGACCGCAAATCCCTAGGAGTCCAAGGACACGGTGTAGAGATCTGCCTGCGAAGCCCCTGCAGCCCACTTCAATAGGCTCACAGCGGGCCATCCAGCCATTCCTCCAGCACTCAGCCACAAGTTCTGTGTATTTAGCCCTCTTCCTCTCCTGGGCTTCCTCTATTCTGTCCTCCCAAGGAACAGTTAGTTC